TAGGTCGATACATGCTCATCTCCTATGAGTAGCTTTATATTACTCACCCTAAAGTTACCGGGGTCATTTTTCAGGTACGAAGACTTGGTTCGTGGTGCTCCATCACTCCTTGGAAGACTTGTAGCTTTTAAGTTTACATTTCATGCAAATGTTAGCATGAAATGTCATTTTGTAGCCTTATATCAAAACTTGTATATTTGATTCTAAATATGTAATGTGTGCCTAAACACACCTTTTGACATTCATTTGATGTGTATGACATGAGGCCAAGGGCCAATCATGTTTATATTTGCACTTGTACTCATTTGGTGCCATATTTTGTTTAAAAATGTATTTTCATCAATTTTGGAGGTTTAACATGTAAAATTTTGTAAATGAATTGTAATAAGGCCATAGGCCATTGTAACATGTTTAAAATGTTATTTTACACTTGCGTGTATGTTCACATCATCACACAGTAGCATATAATGTAAATTGATTATGCCATGGGGGGATTCAAATGAGCTTAGGAATTTTTTCATCATCTGGTGCATAATAAGTGTTTTTGCACTTTCTCGGGCCATTTCGGCCGACCGATGGCTTTTGGATTTCATTTGAATGGTAAAAAGTCATTTTCCAGTTGCTTAAGCCTTGTTCAGGTCCATTTCGGTCGACCGATTCTTCATTTCGGTCGACCTAAATGATTTTCCTTCATTTTTAGGAATTTAGGCCATTTTCTGTTCATTTCGGTTGACTTAAATAGCTTTCACACGGCTGCCTCTTCAGTTTTGTTTCAACACTATTGTTCTAACTTCAAACGGTTATAACTTCTTCATTTCTAATCCAAATGGGGTGATTCTTGAGCCTAAATTCAAGAATTTTGAGTCAGCTTTCCAATGGTACCAATACCACTCTTAGATTCAAATCACAGTAGGAGTTATTCATGTTTTAGTGAGACAGTGTCAGATTTTGCTTGAACCGGGAATGGGAGTCTTGTGGGATTCTTGGCCAAAGTTCTTGGAACCTCTTGGAATGTTGTGAAATGATTAGTTTAGGTTGTATAGACCTCATTTGACTTGCTTGGAGTCAAATCTCCCTTCTCATTTGTAAATTGACCATTTTGCCTCTTAGTTAATGGATTTTGCCCATTTTGACCTTTGCTTCCATTTTTCATTCTCTTTGAGTTTTATGACTTCATGGAAAGTCACTTGGGTGTCTTAGGGATGAAGTACATCTCTATTGATTTGTCTATGTTTTGCTTCTGCATTTTTGGATCCGGTTCGGGTCATCACAGGACACACTAAGTTGAAAAATTCAGGGTCGTCTCATCCCACCTCCCCCACTGCCCATACCGCCGTTAATTATGAGAAGTAGAAACAGGGGAAAATGGATTGAAGGGAGAAGAAAATAGAATAAAGAGAGAGAGAGGGCCAAGCAATCCAAACCCCTCTTCTCTCTCTTTATTCTCTTTTCTTCTCCCTTCAATCCATTTTCCCCTGTTTTGACTTCTCATAATTAACTCATACCCCTCTCTTCTCATCACTGAATTTTCTTCTCTTTGTGTTGTGGCCTTTTGGGGTCAATTCCTTTATTGGGTATCTGCAAGACTCAACAAAGTTCTACTATTTCTGGGTCTCTTTTCGCATAATCGCCCCTAACTTTTTGTGGGTTGCTGCACAATGCATTAATTATTCAAGCACTAAGGGAATGGATTGGCCCACTATGGCACCATTCATCACTCTTAATTTCTCTCTCTCTCTTTCTCACAGATTGATGTTGTTCTTATGTATGTGTTATTTTTGTCTATCCATTGTGTTTACCCTAACATAATTTTAATTTTAGGCATAAGGAATTTATATATATATATATATATATATATATAACACTACGCTCTGTCTAACACTTTGATAGTTGGTCTCCCTTTACAGTGGAACATTCAGAAACATTCTTGAGCCAGTGTTGATGACACCTTTGTTACATAAGCGATTCTGAAAGATCAGATTGCCAAAGACTCACTATTGCCAATGGAATAGATAGCTCAGCCCAGCAAACTACATAGCATAGGTGTTTGAGTGAAACGATGAGATTGATGAAGAATTCTATCTAGATAATGACTTTAGTCCAGAGAGGAACAGAGTCAATTAGGATCCGTTTTAGGAGTGATTTGAACAGTGAAAACGAGTTCCGATATATATATATATATATATATATATATATATATATATATATAACCCTAGAGAGAGAGAGAGAAAAAAAGAGGGGCGAGGTATGGGGGGTTAATATGCACATATGGTGAGGGGTAAAATGGGAATAAAAAAGGGTAAAATAGGGTTTTCATATTTAGTTTTTGTCAAAAGGTGGTTAGAGGGGCTTATTTGCACCTTTTTTGAATTTTTTGGACTAACATGCACATTTTCAAAAAGTATAGACTAGTTTTGCACAAACCCTATATATTAAGAGTTTTTTTTGCACTTAACTTTAATTTTTAATTGGTTATTTATACCAAATATAACTAAGTGGAATGCTTCATTTGCTTATTTGTTACATAAGTGACCAATGAAAAGAGTAAGTCTAGTAATTCACTGTAACTATTCGATGCAAGAATTATTTTCCTATGCAATTTTTTTGTAAAATACTTCTGTTGGCGTTTAGATACAATAAAATACACGAATTTTTCCATCAAAACGATTTTAAACGCTTTGATACCTGTTAGTCACCGTTTGATATGCCTTTTTTATATCACAACCATTTTGCTTTGCTACTGCAATTCCATTTTATAATTTTGTCCGATACAATTTTTTACTAAATTCAATGTCTTTAGCACTCCAATGCGTCCACACACTTTGTGTAGCATAAATTCTTACAGATCTTTGTAGATATTTTATTTTTATTTATTTTAAGATAATTTAATTTTTGTTTGTAATGGTAGATATTTATTTTATTTTATTTTTTTTTTAAAGTTTATAATCCTTTTAGTGATAAAATGTGTCAAGAATACTGTGCGTAAATGGATTATATGATATTCTAATCTAATTTAATTTGAAATTTTAATTTTAATAAATTATAGTTATTCATCTACTATATATATATATATATATATATATATATATATATATATATATATTATCAAGAAAAGTCTGGAAAAGAGAACAAATTTTTATTTATTTATAGATAAGCATAGTTGATTATTTGAATTAGAATTTTTTTATTAATTTGTGACGAATTTATGATGTCATAGTTATTGATTAATTATATTTAATTAGTTTATTATTTTCAAAGTTATTGTGATAATGTCAATTTGCATAAAATGAAAATTTATTTTATTATTTATTGTGTTTTATTTTAATGTCTTTACAAGGATATGATACATAAATAAATAAATAAATTTTTTGTCCTGAATTTTTAATCTATTCAACGTATTATATATATGCTTATTCGTATTTAAATTTTTACGTCTTTGTTTTTTTTTTTATTGTATTTTTATAATATATTTTTATAAAAAAATCAAGTCTCTTTTTATATGTTTTTGAACCAAAATAGTATTTATTATATTTTTTTTTAGTACCGTGTTTTATTAACTATGTTACTTTTTACCTATTAATAACTTACCAGTTTGTTCAATTTAATGAGTATGGGTTGCCCACCCTGTCTAAATTCAATGAACCCAATAATGATGGCGGCTTACATCTGTGTCATTAGATCCCTCATTAAAGGAGCTTTTATTAAGTCTCTTTTTCAAACATTGAAAAAGTGAACATATATATACGTCATGGCAAGTGTCACCTGAATTGACACAACCAGACTTACTGTCCAATACATTTTTATTTATTTATTTTATTGTCTATACCCCTTATAATTTATAAATATTAATATTACATTAAAAAAAAGTAAACATCTTGTGTGTCATGGCTATTGTCATCTGAATCGACACCACCAGGTTTCAACTTAGAGCCTCACGAATGGTGCTCTCTATTGGGCACTCAATATTTGTAATTTGTAAATCTAAAGAATTAAGTCAGTGTTTTGGAACTTCACGCATGGCATTCACACAATATTTTATTTATTTTTTGATTATGCTCTCATGTAAAGAATTATGTCAATGTTTTGGAGCCTCAAGCATGGTTAAAGTGTGTATATCTACAGTAAAGAATTGAGCCCGCTGAAGTCTTGGGCGATTTAAATAATTACAAAGGCCTCAACCAATAAAAGACCTCCCCGATAAATGAATTACCTTATTTTATTATCCCAACATTTTTTTCTACTCTACCTAGCCATATTAATTATTGAATATATATTTATTTTTAAAAAGAGTTTTTCATTGGTGACTCTACCTGTAACAATCTATGATAGAGTAAAATTCAAGTCGCAAGTCCAAACACCCCATTCCTCAAATTTGAATCATGAAAATGCAAATACTCATTCTATACTAAAATCTTTGTCCATCTTTCTATTTTGAAATGTCTCAAAATACATGTCTAATTTTAAAAATAGATATATTATTTTTTATAACATTCTCAAATTATCCTTTAAACAAGTGTACTAATTATGATATTGACTATACATGTCTATTTTAGACATTAATTTGATTAAATAAGTGTACTAATTATAATAATATTCTTGTATTTTAACAAGAATGAATTTAGAAATTCATCTCATATCAATACTTACATTAAAAAAAATACTCTCTCACACCCAAATTAAATATCCACCTTTCCATTTTTAGTTGTTACAAAATAAATTTCTCATTTGAAAAATTAAAGTACTATATATATATATATATTTTTTGTGATAATATCAATTTATTCTTCTTATATTAAATTTTTTATAACCCACTATAAACATTTGATAATTCATTCATTACCAAAATAATAACAACATATTAAAATTAATTTCCTTAAAAAATTATTATAACATCTCATTTGAAACCGCCCATTGCCATTTAGCTAATAAGCCCGCGGTTATTGAAGTTCCACTAGTGGTACTTCTGGATACTTTTCGGGAAGAGTATTTAAAAATTAAAAACCACCACCATACAAATTTGAATTTCGCATAGCAACAATTTTTGAAGGGAGGAAATAACACGAACGCCACCCTTTTTGACAAGATGGGCAAACAAATGGTTTTGGAATTGGAGACATCCCTTGGTGGTGGGAAGTCGTTGAAAAGCAATAGCTGCCTTGTTGCATCCATCACTTTTCCAACAAAACAAAGAATGGTATTTTGGCATCAACCAAACCTCATTAGTTTATGCACACTTTTTATGTCTCTCTATAAGTAGTTGAAGTACCCAATTCAGTTTGTTGTATTCTTCTTCAGTGTTTGAAAGGAAATAGAAACCCAAAAATGGAAAACAAAGTAGTAGCAGAAGGTCAAGAGCAAGAGCAAGAGCAAGAGCAAGAGCAAGAGCAAGAAAATGGCCTCCAAATCCCTCTTCTCACTCCGTACAAATTGGGAAACTTTCAACTTTCCCATAGGTATATATGTCTTTTCAACACTTCCACTTTCCCATGATTACTCACTTGAATTCATTCATTCTGTGTTATCATTTTGATCTTTGGGTTGTGAGTTATTCTAGTTTTACAGTACAGTATGCATAAATGTGTGTATATATATATACATGTAACCCAATATTATTGGTTTATTTTCTATTTATGTGTATTTCTTGCCCTGTTATTGCTGTATAGATTTGTTGTTGCATAAGTTTTTACTTTTTGTGCATCAAGTGTTTGATGAAAATCCAGTCGACAAATTCTCTGATTTGTGAATTCTTTTTTCGAATATAATTTGATTTGTGAAATATAGTAATTAATTGTCAATTAATTTCCATGTGTTCAGCAAATCCTTTTTGTAGCTGGTGAGTATTTTAGTAGTATTTGGAATAAATAAAAGGTATTGTTCTCCAAGGGCAGAGTAGACTACCTTAAAACACTTGGTCCAAATATATTGATCTTTGTTTCTTTTATTTTATTTATCTCTTTATTATATTTATGTTGCTATTTATTTTGACAAGAATGCCTGTCATTTTCTAACACACACACACACACATATTATTTATTCAAGAGTGCTAGATTTGGGCATTTTTAAACCATGTAATGTTTGCAATCTGATTTAGATAAAAGCAATCATGCCTCTATGCTCCATCATCACGCTAGAAAATATGTTTGAAGTGTCAATTTAAAAATTGTGAACTAGAAATCTCTGGTGCTGTTTTGGGACTTAATATTATGTAGTCCACATGACTTTGCAAGGTACTCTAGTTGAATTGGATTGTTGTTCAATCATGAGAACACTTCTTTCTGGTTTCGGAGTTCTTGTAAATATGTTAGGCGCTCAAGATCATGTATTCATGTGTGACTCTTGATTATAGAATGCCCGTTCCACTTTTTTTTTTTTGAAAGGTATGCCCGTTCCACTTTCTCATTAGTTGTTACCTATGCTTTCCTAGTTTATTTTCCCTCTTGCCAATGATTGTACCAGAATGATGAAAAATTCCATGAGAGTCTTTCTCAAGCACAAGTCAATTGTTTTGTTTGAGTCCATCTACTGAAATGGTCTGCCCACCTCGTCTCTTTTGAGATTGAACCCCACCCTGGGCTTCTTAGGTTAATCTTGACTTGGCATTTTTGAGCTTCAACTAGCAAAACCAAAGAAAATGTTTTTCCCTGCTATGGCCTGATATTTATTTTCTATCATTAATTTGTATTTCTAAGTGTTAATCTATGTGTCACACAAAAAAGTTGTCAACTCACTCTTATCAAATGAATAAATTTTACTGCCTCTGTCCCTATTATTGTTTAATTATATATCTATATTGTATTTTTCTATTTTCAATCCTAAGCAAGCAATTGTAATGAAATTAGAGGCAGTGACTCACCTAATTCTACTTTGAACACCAACGGACCAGTGGCCTAGCGGTATTAGCCTCTTACTTCCCAAAGGGAGGTCAGGGGTTCAAGTCTCAGTAGAGACGTGTGTGTGAGTACCAACTATGAAAAAAAAATAAAAAATTCTACTTTGAACTTCTTAGGGAGTATGTAGATGTAATTATGCTAGTTTATTACATCCTTTGGCAATAAGTTCCAATACCTAATGTAGTAACTGTTTTTGCGTTCCACAATTTTCAGAATTGTTTTGGCACCATTGACTAGGCAGAGATCTTTCGGAAATGTTCCTCAGCCACATGCTATCTTGTATTACTCCCAGAGAACCACCAAAGGGGGCCTTCTCATAGCAGAGGCAACTGGAGTTTCTGACACAGCCCAAGGGTAATTAATAGTTGTACTTATCCGAGTTCTTTGGGGTCATAGATTTGAAAAACAACTTACATATTTGAGCATATGATTGCTTTCTTCATGATTTCATCAGTAGTTTTGCTTTCTTCACTATAGGTACCCAGATACTCCTGGTATATGGACAAAGAAGCAAGTCGAAGCCTGGAAACCCATAGTAGATGCTGTTCATGCCAAAGGTGGTATCTTCTTTTGCCAGATTTGGCATGTGGGGAGGGTTTCAAATCAAGGTATTTTATTTTGGACTTCTTATTCATAAGATCTAAAATCGCATTTCTAGGTTTCTTTTATTCTTTTTTTAAAAATAAAAAATAAATTCCTTGTTTGTGCAACATGATAAACAAGTGCAACAAAAAATGCGTGCGTAAATTTTTGAATGCTAGTTTTCAGCTTTGGCATTTTCATATATTTGTATATTCTATTTTTGTTTTTATTTTTATTTTTTTTAAGTACAAATTTATCAATTTACTTTTCCTGTATCTCAAACAATCAATATTGCAGAGTTGTGTCTTGGAAATTTGGTTTTGGTTGATTACCTGTCTCAATAGTCAATAAATGGGTGTTTTTCCAAGTTCCACATAAAAGGCTAGCTAAATACAAGCTCCTTTACCATAAATAAAAAGGGAATGAAAGCTTAAAACATAAGTTCTCATTTTCATATAATAAAGGCAATATTTACAGTAAGAACAAAATTTTTTAAACATGTTTTTGAAGCTCACAAGAAATATATTCTTTACACAAAGGCATATTTGATTAAACCACCATAAATAATAACCCTTTAAGGTTAGGATTCGGTGGGGAGATCTCGGTATTAGTATCACTCAATCTAACAGGAATATTGTCGATATAACCTTGGAAACCAATTTCTGTTCCATGTCATGTTGAAAATGGCCATGGTTGTTAGGTCACATTGGTTAATTCTTTGATCATTTTACAGATAAAATAAAAGAGGATAGCATTGCTCGCCTCTGTTTTAATATCTTATGTGAGACGAGGAAAGCAGCCTACAGTACTGTGACTAGTCATTTGTTGATTATATTATGTTTAATGTAAAAATTGTTAGTGATAATTCTTCAGTCTTAATTCTATTTCTTAAGTTAAATATTATGTTTGGCAATTATTTTGTGAAGACAATGATAAACAAATGGAATTTTTGAATGCATATTATAAGTCTGTGAGTGCTAATTTTGCCAAGTTGTTGGTGTTATAAATATAGGATTATAGGGTCAGCAAGTGGGATTTCTGGTGAATCTATAGGATAATGAATTGCATTATGCAAATTTTATGTCCACGTCGTTTTTCTAAGTTACCTATAAAATTTCCTAGAAACCTCTTCTCTCAAAGGGCTTTCATTTCTTGAATGCCAAACATTAAAATTGGGGTCTACCATGTTGGACTGCCAATATTACTGAAAGAACCTGGAAGGTGTCGTGGAACTAGGTTCAGGATTTCACTTGGTGCAGGAGGTTCATTAGCCATTATTTTTGACGTGATACTACTGCCTAATTCTTCTTATTTTTCTTCTCTTTTGTTGTGAACATCAAATGTAGAAGACCTAGCAAGCTTCAGTTGGATTCTTTCCAAGAGCATGAAAAAAACCATGGCTACTTTTTCATAGGATTACGAAAATGATGAGGGGTCTTATATATGAATTTATAAATGGTGGAAATAGTTTCTGCTTTTATATATCAAAATATATTAACATATTTTTTAGGTACCTTTTCCTTTCCTACTTCTGTATAACAACTAAAGTAAGAAGCACTAATACACCCATTTTGTCAAATTGTAACTTGAAATCTCAACCTCCTCTTTGAGAGGTGGAGGGGATAGCACTCAAGCTAATGCTTCGTGCTTATAATGACTCCTTGTTTTCTTTGATGAAATGACGTACTTTATTGAATTTTCGGGCCTCTTTGATGTCATCTTAACCTATTTAGCCATTTTCTTGTACAGGTTTTCAGCCAAATGGGCAAGACCCGATATCTTGTACTGACAAGCCGTTGACTCCTCAACTTCGTAGTAATGGCATCGATGTTGCACAATTTTCACCTCCACGACGCCTGAGTATAGATGAAATTCCTCAAGTTGTCAATGATTTTAAACTTGCAGCCAGGAATGCTATGGAAGCTGGTAAGCTTTTGAAGCTACATTTAGACACTAACGAAAAGTAAACTTGTTCTTTAACTTCAGAAAGTTAAATGGTATTAAGATAAAGAAATATATTTATTTGAAATGAATTGCAGAAAGAATATATGCTGAACTTGTTTATGGATCATGGTTGTCTGTCTTTAGTGGGTAAGAATAAAATATGAGATCATAGGTTTGGACTTTGGTAACATTTCTACTCTGATGTTGTAATGACCTAAATTTTGTTTTGTAAGTTCAACTGCATTTTATTCTTTTGTGAAGCAAGTGATATATATATATATATATATATTTTCTGGTAAAAAATTAATTGGTCAATTTTCTTTGAAGGAAATTCAAAAAACATGTATGGTGAGTCAGTTTTGTATCTATTATTTTTAGGAATATTGTGTCTGTTATAATAGAAGAATCAAATGCCATCATATTTAAAATATGTAGGTACTAAGTTATGAATAAGCTCCCTAGTGGAATCAAGTAAGTAACCTCTGCAAAATATGGGTCTCAAGGTCTAGTGATGTCCTGGGGACTCTAGGAGAGTGGGCTAGAATGAAAACCAAGGCAGCCTTAGAAAAGAGCGAGTGGCAGTAATTGAGAAAATCTTGGATAATCTCAAGATTACTTTTCCTCCCTTTTTAGAAATTCATGAAATGATTTAAGGAGTCATCCCGTATTTGTAGGATTATAGGAGTGTAAAGGACAGCTGGGGTTATCAACTGGCATGACAAAAAAAGTGTGGCTAAATGGTGATACCAAAAAATCATATGAGAATATCAACAAGTGAGTTAGTGTCCGTTGAGCGCCATCATGTGGCTAAAACATCTCAATGGACACATGGTATTTTTCTTTCTACGACCAACCAAAATATAGATTGCAATTGTGGATACACCTTGGTGAGCCCTCGAATTTTGGCCTTGAGGATACAAGACCACTAAAATACCGTTCTGGACCATGTGCAACAACATGATCGCACTGTGTGCAGGTGGAGGCGCTCTAGCTGAGCCTTGACGAGCCTAGGTTTTTTTTTGGAGCTTAGGCGCGCCTTTAACAACTATGGATGAAGGTATCACACATAGGATACTTGAGGTCCCAAGCTAATGGGCTATTGTTAAAACTGAGGTAGCATCTGGAGAAATAGTAGAGTAGCAATAATGGAGAGAAAATAGGAGAATTCCAAGTCCATTGTTATCCTTCATTCCAGAAGTTCTTGAAATGAGGTAAGGAGTCATCCTTTAAGGTTAGAGGAATGTAATGAATTGTTGGTGATAGGCGATGGCTAGTGCATGTGCAGGGAAATTTGACTAAACAGAGAGACTATTGAATCATAGGAGAATATTCTCAGGTGAGACGGCATGCACAGTGTATCAGGTGGTGAATACATGTCTCAAAAGAACACACGGTATCTCCCTGAGATGATCCATATAGTAATTAGATTGCAGAGAGGGAGGAGATGGGATAAGTGTGTGAGAGAGAAGCCCCCTTCTCTAGACAGAGTTTAGAGAGGACTCCTTTTCCATTAATTGAGGTGTTCGTATACACTACCACATGTGTCGCCTATGCACGTGTGAAGGACAATCAGGGAGATAGAGACATATGTCTATTGCATTGTTGCTCTAAAAGAAAGGCACATGCCTCACCATATCTATTCCACTCCCTCCTCATGTGAGAACATTGTAACTGGAGGTTGGCACCCATGTGATGTAAGATGGATGGGACCACTGGCCTGACCACCTAGCTAGCACACTCTCTTAGTCCACAAAACCGTAACCTCGTTAATGGCCCCGAGTGACATGTCAAGGCATGACAATGACATGGTAAATGGCTGCCCATGTTGTCCCCATGTCGCAAGTTGTGCAATTCTATCACCCACATAGCCAAATTTTATATGAGAAAGGAAGGATGCATTTTGACATTTAGTAGCAACCAACTAGTTCTATTGTATATTACAGTTGCTTTTTAAGGTAGTCCATGAAAAAATGGCACCGTAACTTACTGCATTAATTAATTGAGAGTTTCACGGGAAGGGTGCCATCTTTTTACGAATCATTTGTGATGACACATGATATCTTTATTCACAATGATTTGTCTGTAAAAGACGAAACAGAAGCAAAATTTTCCACATCAAGGATAGAAAAAGAAAAGGAAAAAACATGGTACACATATTAAGGTTAAGTGCATAATACTAGAAGTTCACCAAATTTTATATATCAGGAAGTGAGCATGAAGGCAACATTTGTTTGAACAGATACTGAGATAAAGGTGGTGTGTATCCATGCATTAATTTGTTATTATCTTGTTATTGTAAAATACATGGGCAATATGGAAAATTCCTCCAAGGCGGTGTCTCAAAAAAAAAAAAAAAAAAAAAAAAAAAGGTTAAAACAGTTTTTTGATTTGGAGTATTTTTGAAAGCTCAAGAATTCATAAATTATTGTATTCTACAAAGCTGATTGTTTGGAGATATATTGAACTGTGTCCTGGACTATGTTTCAAAATACCGAACAGGGCCTATCACTCTTCATTTTCTGATTCAGTGATGTTTGTTTGATGCACAGGTTTTGACGGAGTTGAGATCCATGGGGCTCATGGTTACCTATTAGACCAGTTTATGAAAGACCAAGTAAATGACCGCACAGACAAGTATGGAGGCTCTCTGGAGAACCGTTGCAGATTTGCTCTAGAAATAGTTGAAGCTATTGCTAATGAGATAGGAGCGAATAGAGTGGGAATAAGGCTCTCCCCCTTTGCAGATTATATGGAATCCGGAGACTCGAATCCAAAGGCTCTAGGCCTCTATATGGCTGAATCATTGAATAAATATGGTATTCTCTACTGTCACATGGTTGAGCCTAGGATGAAAACTTTAGGAGAAAAATCTGAATGTCCCCATAGTCTTGTGCCCATGAGAAAGGCTTTCAATGGTACTTTCCTTGTTGCCGGGGGTTATGACAGGGAAGATGGTATCAAAGCTTTAACCGAGAACCGCGCAGATCTTGTTGTTTATGGACGTTTATTCTTGGCTAATCCAGATTTGCCAAAGAGATTCAAGCTTAATGCTCCTCTGAACAAGTACAACAGAGACACCTTCTATGTACCAGATCCTGTTATTGGCTACACTGATTATCCATTTCTCGAAACAACTGCTTAAATTTTCTATGGAGGAGAATGTGAACACAAAATTGTTATCTTAGTTTTACGCATCTCAAATCGACCTGAATTATTAAAAATTGTTATCCATTTTTAATGCTTGTTTTATGCTGAAAGAGTGCAATAAAAAACAGAAAACAAATTTTAAGTACTATCCCGCTCAGGAATTATTAGGTTTGTTTAAATTTCTCATTTTTAAGCCATGCTATTGTTGTCGTACTTGTGATAAAAAATATCATGCAGGTTGTTTACTCCATTATTTTTTCTCAATGGAAAGATGACAAATGGCGAGTTTTAACAAGCTTGCCAGATTGGATTAATACTCTAATTATCCAAAAGAAGAAGGTGTGACATGGAATTATTGATATAATGTACCAATAGAAAAGAGGTAAATGGCGAGTTCCAATGGAACTTGTCGCGCCGGAGCGTAACTCTGATAAATTTTCTTTGGAATATTAAAACCATGAGGAATTGTTAATTGAAAGAAAGTGGCGAGTCCTATTAGGACTTACCAACTTTGGATATAATGTCCTAAAAAGTATAGGAAGGTGGCATGGAGTCACTATTATGAGTGCAACCTCATAGGAATATTCAAGTCAAAAATCAACCAACCAATGGTTTATTAACACGTGGCGAGTTCTACTGAACTTGCCACGGTAGATTAATTCTTTTAAGAGTTGATTTTATTAATGGGAAGTCCTATTCTTATAGGAAAACAATTAAATGGATATTTTCCATTTAATTACGAAATCAAGGTTGACTAAGCAGGACGTGGGGCTAGATTTTCTCCTAAAATCTAGGGGGTTCTCAACAACTACGTCTGACTAAATCAAGCAACGAGAAAGTGGGGTGTTGTTCCTAGAAATATAAAATATATTCCCCAAAAAATATATATATATATATTTTTTATACAGCCCACGATGGGATAAAGGAGTTGCTATAATTTTGGGGCCCACGATGCCATAAACTCAGAATATGGAAGGGAAGTTTCAAGAAGAGAAGCTACAAGAGTTATAGACGCCAATCCACGTCAAGAAGAATGCTGAAATTTAAGAGTTCATGGCGTCGTGGAGTCTAAAGTCGCAAAGAAAAATGAGTATGGGTGATGATTTGCATCGTGGATGTATATATATTCATACATATGTGCACACTCACGATGAGGAGAAGTGGTTAATTTTGGACACGATGCCATGAAAGGAAGGAAGTCCAGCTGGAAGAGGTTACCTAAAGCCAAGGGAACGTGGATGTGTGTATAATTTCTATATACATGCATTATATATATATAAGTTATATAGAAGGAAAGATTTTAAAGAATGTGGGATAAATGGTTAAACAGAGTACATCAGTTGAAAGTGGTGGTCTTGCATACAACTACTACCACTAACCGAAGTGGTTGTCGGATAATTTGGATAACAGGGCCATTAAAATCGTGCTTGAAGAAAGGAGAACAAGAAGACATGGGGCATGTGTTAGTTTATGGAGAAGACAAGTGGAAGACCCATTCTAAAACTACCTACGATATAAGTTCATGGAAGAGAAAAAGGACATGGTTCAAGTGAAACATCAGAAGAAATCTACAGCAAGAGAAATGAGGAAGAAGATGGTGGCAGAAATAAAAGGAACTGCCAAGAACATGGGACACTTGGCAATGTCGGACTAGGCCAAGTGGAAGTTGCTGAAGTCGCCACATCTCAGTTATTGCATGCAAGGAGGTCTATAAATAGTGCACCAAGGATTAACTTGCAAAGCCTGCCTGCCCAGCACACAACACATCAATTCAACATCTTTGTTATTGATGCATCTCTCATTTCAACAATGAATTTACATTGCGTCTAAACCTAGCACTTTGCTAGTCCATGTACTTTCCATTCCAGCAATGAATTTACATATTTTTTTATGTTGAGTCCAGTACTGTGCTATTCCATATAGAATTCATTTTAACAATGAATTCTCATAATGTTTTAGTTAAATCCAGCACTCTTTCCGTTTCTTCTAGCCGAGCATTGTATTTCCATGTCTCTAAATTTCCAGTCATGCATTTCAATTATCTTAATTTCCAGTCCTACACTTTAAATTACTTTAATTTCCAGTCTTGCACCTTCAATACTGTCTTCATTTCCATTAGCCATAGAATAGTTTGAAGTCCTTGTTCAAAGGCAAAAAAGACCCTTCGAATGTGGTCATTCCAGACCTTCGTACAATCGACTTATCCTTGCAAATTTTCAACTGGATTATTGTTCGGATTTCTACTTTGGAACTACTGTAGTTCCTGGCATGCCCGCACACCACACTATTCTATTCCACCATCCATTCCACGCATTCTGTAGAGCGGAACCAGCGCTTCCCCACGAGCCGAACATATTGGCACGCTCGGCAGGACTTCTAGACAGATTGTTCAATGGCCGGTGGAAGAAGGTAAGGCAAGTCTGTCCAAGACCCTGCCGATATTGAAGAGTTGCAAACCAGTGAACTTCCAGATGAAGGTTCACGATTTGCACCTGACGACAGCGATATGGTGGAAAAGTTTGCCCAAACAATGGCAAATGGTCCCATCATGGATAACATCCGCATGATGGCCATGCAACAAGATAGGTTTGCGTAAGACCAACCAAGAGTCGCCCAAGACTTAGCCAGAGTTATGCAAGACCAATCTAAGGCTAGTCAAGATCATCCAAAAGCCGCTCTTGCTAATGAGCAAAAGCTAACCGAAATGGTGGACCAAATCTCCTATAGATTTGAGTCTATGTAGGAACGGTCCATTGGAAGCTTGGCACAAGCCATCGCCCCTCAGCCAAGAAATTCTGAAAAGACTCAACAGTCGGCTTTCCAAATCGGTAGGCCAGCTACTTTTGTTGAAGGCAGTCCCTTTAAACAACATGCAAGTTCATTCTTTCCAAATCTGCAGCAGATGTAATCCCTTCCAATGGCACAGACGTGTATTCCAATTGCACCTGTAACCGCTCTTGTGGCACAGATGACCATTCCACAATTAGCGCCTATGCCAGCCACTCAGCAAGTTCAGAACTTTCCAACTGTGGCATTCCCACAGCGGATATGGCATGATTAGCTTGGCCAACCATGGCCATACCATTCAGCCAGCCGCACCTGTGCCTCTAAGGCCACACGTGGCCATGTCGATGGCGGTTGGGGGGGCAACCTTTTCCAAGAGAGCCACTTCCGAACCAAGGAGGAAGAAACCATTGGAGGAAACCCTTTTGATGCCAACCCACTGCCGATGGCAGGTAGGGGGCATCAAGGGGTCAACCAACCTCAAGTGAGGCTAGATAACAACCTTCCACAGCCCATGGCACTTGATAGAGGCCAATTAGCAGAATTCCTCCAACAGGAATTTGGCCTAACTCGAAGGGGTGGAAGACCAGCTTATAGAAAGCCCTATCCGGAGTTCATTGACGAAGTTGAGTATCCAAGGAATTACAAAATTCCAGAATTCACAACATTCAATTAAGAGGGCGAATAGTCCACATTGGAACATATCAGCCGTTTCACTGTTCAATGTGGAGAAGCAGCAGCCACTCCATGGTTGAAGGTACGCTTGTTTCCAAATACATTAACTGGTTATGCTTTCAGGTGGTATTCTAACTTGCCAGCCAACTCTATCCGAAGTTGGCAACAATTTGAGGATTTGTTCCATACTTAGTTCTATAGTACCGAGCCTGAAGTGTCCATGGCAGACCTTTCTAGACTTCATCAGTTACCTGGAGGGTCGGTGATCAGCTTCCTTTCCAGATTTAGAAGGGCCAAGTACAAGTGCAATTTGCCCTTGCCACCAGAAGAATATGTGAAAATGGCCGTCAATAGTTTGAAATTTGAACTTTGTAAGAAGTTTGAAGGAGTGCAGTTCCATGATTTATTCGATTTGGCCAGCAGAGTGGTTAAGTACGAAGATCTCCTTCATGAAGAGCAAGACCGTAAGTCTTCTTCCAAAGGCACTTATTATCATGATCCTAACTATAAGGTATTTGCCACTGAAATAGAGGGAGATTTGGAAGTTAATATAGCTGAGCTCAACATAAAGCAGGCCTATACTTATGAGGCTTTGGCAAAACCAAAATCAGCGACGACCAACTTGCAGGCCGCCTCTGGTTCCAAGTGGAAAGGGGCAGACCCTTTCAAGAGTTACTCTTTTGACATTTCCAAATCTGTTTGATTTGCTCGTGGCTGACAAGCAACTGATCTTCACAGTAGGCCACAAGATGCCAACGGCCTCTGAAATGGCCGAGAAAGAGTATTGCAAATTCCACAATTCGTGGAGCCATTCCACTAACAATTGTGTAGTTTTTCACAATATTGTTCAGAAAGCAATTAAAGATGATAGGCTGAAGTTTCCAGAAAAATCAGAGGTGATGGGTGTTGATTGAAATCCTTTCCCCAAGGTCGTTACAACAAACGTTGCTTCTATGGTTCCGGAACATCCTAAAAAGAAAGTGAACTTGACAGGTCCAGCGGCCAATGGAAAGTTGGAAATTCCTAAAGCGGCAACATCCATGGAGAAAACAATGGCTGAGTTAGAAAGACAACTATGAGAGGCTCAGATTGCCTTAATCCAGCAAGGTTATTGCCCCAAGTGTAAAATTCAGAATGAAGGTTGCTGTAGAGATTTTTCAAAAGAAAAGCAGAATGAGACGCTTTCCAGTGATGACCGAGGTTAGAAAAGGAAGGTCTATGACTGGCTAACTTTCTAAAAGGTGGAAAACACAGTTACTGTAACCATTCCAGAGAAGGAAAGCCGAGTCTATACAGAAAGAAGGGCAGCAGAAAAGAGACCAGAAGTCCTTCCAAGGAGTTTGGAAATGAGTAGGGTTCCTTATGAGGCAAGGCCTCGTCCTAGCAGAAGGTATTAAAGCAACAAGTGGCATGGTAGAACCTCTGAAGGTGATAGGTATTCCAGGCCAAAATTGGCCTCAGAAGTATGGATCAAAAAGGGGAATGAACATCTCCATCCAAGAATGGTTAAGCCTCTTACCTCGCAAAATGAAAGGTGGAAGAGGCTTGATCATCCCAAGTTTCTTGTTCATAAGGATTCCTATTTGACTCGCACACAAAAGCGAATGCAGCAAAGGAAAAGGCTGACAGAAGAAAGTAATGGGAGAAAGACTATGGTTGGTCCAGCTGGCCAAAGAAGATTACTAAGCCATCTGACTTGTCAGAACTTCCAGCTAAAGGA